AGTTCCCCCACCAGTTCCCTTCACCCGCACCCCATGAGAGCTCTGTTCTTGGGACCCCCCACACGACGATTTCTCTCCCAAAACTGACGAGGTCTCTCCACCAGGTCCCGGCACCCCCACCCCAAGCGAGTTCTGTTCTTGGGACCCCCCCCAGGACGATTTCTCGCCCAAAACCAACCAGGTCTCCATGCCAGGTCCCGGCACCCCCACCCCATGAAAGCTCTGTTTTTGGGACTCCCCACACGACGATGTCTCGCCCCAAACCGACCAGGTCTTCCCACCAGGCCCCGGCACCCCCACCCCATGAGAGCTCTGTTCTTGGGCCCCCCCGCACAACGACCTCTCGCCCAAAACCGACCAAGTTCGGGCACCCGCACCCCATGCCAGGTCCGGGCACCCGCACCCCATGAGAGCTCTGTTCTTGGGACCCCCGCACGAGGATCTCTCGCTCAAAACTGACCAGGTCCCCCAACCAGGCCCTGGCACCCCCACCCCATGAGAGCTCTGTTCTTGGGCACCCCCACACAACGACCTCTCGCCCAAAACCGACCAGGTCCCCCCACCAGGTCCCCGCACCCCCACCCCATGAGAGCTCTGTTCTTGAGACCTCCCACACGACGATTTCACGCTCAAACCCACCAGGTCCCCATGCCAGGTCCCGGCACCCCCACCCCATGAGAGCTCTGTCCTTGGGACTCCCAACGCGACGATGTCTCGCCCAAAACCGACGAGGTCTCTCCACCAAGTCCCGCCCCACCCACCCCATGAGAGCTCTGTTCTTGGGACCCCCCACACGACGATTTCTCTCCCAAAACCGGCCAGGTTCTCCCATCAAGTCCCGCCACCCCCACTCCATGAGAGGTCTGTTCTTGGAACCCCCCACACGACGATTTCTCACTCCAAACCGACCAAGTTCCCCCACCAGTTCCCTGCACCCGCACCCCATGAGAGCTCTGTTCTTGAGACCTCCCACGCGACGATTTCTCGCCCAAACCGACCAGGTCCCCATGCCAGGTCCCGGCACCCCCACCCCATGAGAGCTCTGTTCTGGGGACCCCCCACACGACGATTAACCTCCCAAAACCGACCAGGTCCCCCCACCACCAGGTCCCGGCACCCGCACCCCATGTTGGGAACCCCCCACGCGACGATTTCTCGCCCAAAACCGACCAGATCCCCCACCAGGTCCCGGCACCCGCACCCCATGAGAGCTCTGTTCTTGGGACCCACCACGCGACGATTTCTCGCCCAAAACCGACCAGGTCCCCCCACCAGGTCCCGGCACCCCCACCCCAAGCGAGCTCTGTTCTTGGGACCCCCCAACACGACGATCTCACCCAAAACCGACCACGTCCCCCCACCAGGTCCTGGCACCCCCACCCCATGAGAGCTCTGTTTTTGGGATCCCCCACACGACGATTTTTCGCCCAAAACCAACCAGGTCCTCCCACCTGGTCCCAGCACCCCCACCCCACGAGAGCTCTGTTCTTGAGACCCCCCGCGCAACGACCTCTCGCCCAAAACCGACCAGGTCCCCCCACCAGGCCGTGGCACCCGCACCCCATGAGAGCTCTGTTCTGGGGACCCCCCACACGACGATGTCTCGCCCCAAGCCGACCAGGTCTCCCCACCAGGTCCCGGCACCCCCACCCCATGAGAGCTCTGTTCTTGGGCCCCCCCGCACAACGACCTCTCGCCCAAAACCGACCAGGTTCCTCCACCAGGTCTTGGCACCCCCACCCCATGAGAGCTCTGTTTTGGGTGCCCCCCACACGACGATTTCTCGCCCAAAACCGACCAGGTCCTCCCACCAGGTCCTGGCACCCCCACCCCATGAGAGTTCTGTTACCAACGTCTCGACCTTCTTGTCGCCCCAGGGCGGGCCTAGACGGACGCTTGTCCCGTCGTCGCGACGCATCGCGAAGCCCCACATCGGCAGTCTCACTTACCTCGCTGCCCCGCCAGCTTTCGTCTGGAGCATGTGTTCTGGCGCCCACGGTCGCAACTGCCTGGCCGAACTTCGACGGGGCGGCCGATCAGAGCCCCGCTGCTGCGGGCCACCAGCGCGAATTCTGTGATGTCTTCGCCCCATGCGTCGCCACCATCTTTCGCCGCCGCCAGGGGACTTCCTGATTTCTCTTCAATTCCAAACTAACTAATTTTGACCCCGCGACCGCAAACGGCGACCGTGGTGGGTTCCGCGTTGTCACACCGTCTGGCAAGTGACTGGAACGGCACCGCTGGTCCTCTTCCTCGTGACGCCAACACTTTCAGCGCTTGATCTTATTGATAGGACCAGCCGAACCTCCCGTGATAACTCCAAAAAGAACCCACGTCGAATTTTTCGAATGCTGGGGAGCTGCGCGCCGACGCTGCCAAGGCAGCGCGGGGCCCCGCGCGGCGCATGTGCGGCGTGAGATCCCGATCCGTCTCGTGTCCCATGTATGCCCAGGGTCAGGTAAAATTCGAATGGGAGCCTTCGTGAAATTTCCCACTGCGGTCGTCCCGAGACCAGGGGAAACACCGCTGACTATGTCAAGCGCGGCGAAGGGAGAAGGCCGAAGAAACGTTTAAACCGCCGGTGCTGCGGCGGCAACGCCACCGCGCCAATAGGAAGTCTCCGCCCAAGCACTGGTGCCGCCCCAATCCCTCTCCGCCCCACGCTGTCCAATCAACGCCGTCGTCCCGACCATGGCCCCACCAATCTTTGCGGCTGCACCACCATCCCGTGGCGCCACCCTGGCCATCGTTCGGACGTCCATTCCCTGTGTGTTGTTCGGTGTCGTTTTTTTGTTATATATATATATATATATAACATAATATGTATATATAAGAATGATCCAGGATGCTCCTGAATAATCCCCTCCGAGAGAAAACCTAAGGATTGAAATAAATACCATTTTTTCCGACAAAACCATGGTATTATTGGTATTATTAGCATTACTATTGTTATTATTAGTATTATTAGTATCATCATCAGCATTATTATTATTAGTATTATTATTATTATTAGTATTGTTGTTCTTATTGTTAGTAGTATTATTACTACTACTACTACTACTACTACTACTACTACTACTACTATTATTATTGTTATTATTATTATTATTATTACTATTATTACTATTACTATTAGTAGTAATAGTATTGAAACGATGTCCGAGCGATACCCAGCACCCCATTGGTTGACGCCTGCGTCGCCCATTGCAATACGACCGCGCTGGCGCGCGTCAGGCCGCGAGCGGCCTGAGCGCACCGCTGCGCACGGGCGACCCAGCGGACGCCGGATGGCTGAACATAGCGGCGACGGACGACGAGCTATGATTGGAAGGCAGGGCGTCTGAGGGAAGGGGGGGCAGGAATAAGGACAATGAAGTGGACGAATAATGGGGAGACGAAGCGCAGGGGGGGGGGGGAAACGGGCGGAAGAGGAGGAGGAGGCGGAGGAGCAAGAGGATGACGAAGAAGATGGTGGAGCAGGACGGAAACCGAGGATGACGGAGTGGATACTGATAACGAGGTGTAGCGACGACCTAGCCAGATCTGCATTGAAGACAAAAAACGGATCACGAACGCGAAGATGATGAGCGCGGAAGTAGGAGGCAGCTCGCTGGAAAGAGCACGAGCGTTACCAGTTCGAGAAGCAGGCGAAGAGAAGGAAAACCAGCCCTTCTGTCAAAGAGGGCCTCCACTCCTCCGCTAGAAGGTAATTCCTGTCAAAGAGGATCGAAAAGGTAACCTAAAACGGCCTTTTGGATTACCGGGAGGCAGGCTCCCCAGGGCGGTGGCTCTTTGCAAACTCTGGCCCCTGTGCTTTCCTCACCTCCTGGAGGCCTCCCAACAGGGGTCCGAGCAGATGGGGTCGGAGGATCGCACCCCAGTCGCCGATACGTCGCCGATACATCGCCGATGCTTCGGCGATGTATCGGCGTGGAGGAAGTCAGGCTGCACATCGAGCCGCATCGCCGATGTATGGGCGATGAGGCTCGATCCTCCGGCCCCATCTGTTCTGACACCACGTGCCGTCGCTCGGACGTCCATTTCCCGTGCATTTTTCGGTTTCGCGCGTGTCTGTTCTGCTCGAGGGTCCAGGATGGTCCTCGATGGCTCTCGCCGAGAAAAAAACGCACACGTCCGAGCGATGCCGAGACCAGCTGGCAGGCCTGGACCTCCCCCGCCCCCGCCCCCGCCCGGAGCCATCGCACCCCTCCGAGCCTCGGCGGCTGCAGCCCCCCCCTCTCTCCGTGGGCCGTGGGCAAGGCGGCGACGAGGGGGGCGAACTGCTCGCTATGGAGCACTACACGCCAGAAGTAGGAAGGAAGTATATTGGGAAGTAGATTGGGAGTTGGAAGTAGATTGGGTTGAAACGTGAAGTAGGAAGGCGTTGGAGGTAGATTGGGCTTCCACCCGCCCCCTGAAAATGAGGAAAGAAGGGAAACCGCTCAACTCTTGAAGTAGGAAGGCGCCTAAAATAGATTAGGATTTGGGCATCCAAAAATACCTACTTTCAACGACTGGCTTGTACATGCATCAGAAGAGAAACATGGACCAACGCCGACGGGAACCCACCGATGGTTTCTCGGTGGTGGAGGTCCACGCTTCTCCTCTGAATATGTATGTCCAGGGGCGCCTATGACCTGCCTTTGGCGAGGCTGCGGGGCGAATGCGTGCAATGCACGCCCCGTTCTCTGACGTCCGATGTTGCGAACAAATCGCAGGATCGCGAAAAATCACGACGGCAGCCCTACAGTCGGACTGCTGAAATAAGGAACGCTAAATAAGGAACGAAGCCCCTTTGTGGCTTCAAAAAAGCCTGGGTGCACGAGAATGGCTAGAGGAACAGCCGCGGAAGGACGTCAGGAACATCGAGCCCCTTCCGAATCCAGACTGCTCCTTATTTCACCGCCTTGGCTGCAGACCCCATCTTCATGCTGCACGTTTGAAGCTGGATCGATCGTCGCTTCCGATAGACCGCCAACCGCCCGGCCGTTGGAGCTGGCCTGTAGGTAGCCGCGGCCTCCGGGACCACGTCGCGGCACACCTCCGCGGGGCCCGCGGAAGCGCGCTCCCCCCGCTGGCGGCGGCACACCCCGCGGCACCCGCTGCGCGCCCCCCAGCCAGCACCCGCTGCGGGGTCGGCGCCACTGCCTGGGAGAGCCCTTCCTGCTCCCTGAGGGCCTCCTCCCTTACCAGCCTCGAACGTATCCCTATCCATAAGATTGACACGCCAAAAGGCGATGACAATCTTAGGGATTCGCCCTCAAAAAATAAGGGAATCACTAAGATTGGCATCGTGATGAGGATGTGCCCAGCATAGGGATAGGGACATGTTCCAGGCTGGTCCCCCCCCCTTCCTCGTGACCAGGGAGGGGAGGACGAGGGCGAGTTTTCACCACCCGTCGACCTCAGGGAAGACAGGCATGAACCTGGCGCGACCCCTCAAGTAGGGGAAACACTTCTGGCTGCATGGGCAGCACTGCTTGGCGTCGCCTGGTGTTGCTTGGCATTGTTCGGCACTGCTTTGCATTGCCTGGCGCTGCTTGATTTAGTTTTGTGTTGTTTGGCGTCGCTTGTTATTGAACTACATATTTGTTGTGGTTCCCCACGAACGCACCAATCTTGCCCAACCACGTTTCCTAAGCAAGCCCGGAATCACCTGACGGCCAACCTGCGATACAGTCGGGCTGCTGGAATAAGGGACGCTAAGCAAGGAGCGAGGCCCCTGTTCAGCACCGAAAGAGCCTGGATGCACGAACATGGCTACACTAGGGGCCCGGCCACAAGAAACCTTCCACAAGAAACCCAACCCTGAGACCCCAGGACGTCCCCTGATGTTTGGTGTGGAAACGTCAAACTTTCCATAGCAAAGCCATCGAAATCCAAGAAACCCAGGGCACCCTGGAGGCAAGCAGGGTGTTTCTTGGCATGGGTCTCCACTGTAGGGGAACAGCCACGGGATGACCTAAGGAGCCGCGAGCCCCTCCCGAACCCAAAGCGGTCCTTATTTTCGGGAGCGGCCAAGAGGGGGGTGTCCAAGAGGGGGGGGGGGGGGGGGGGCAAATCATGACTTCGGGCTCGCGTTTACCCCGTTTGGAAACGAAGGGGGGTAAAACCAAAAAACGCGTGCATTTTTAAGGTGACCTTTCGCCTGGCGAAGCGTATTCTTATTTGATGTGTGGACCTTGGTAAGTAGTATGCCCACATCCAAAATATCAAACGAGTCGCCGCCTCCCTGGTCTGGGCCCGCGTGGGGGAAGGGGGGGGGCGAGCCTATGCTTGGGGGCCCCGCAAAGGGCCCCGAAGAGGATGGCGGAAGAGTGGGAAGAGCAAAGGGAGGTGGAAGAACAATGGCGAAAAATTGCAGGACGCCGCACGTAAAGGAGGAGCAAGAGGAGGAATCCGAAGAAGAGGAGGAAGAGAAGGAGCAGGAGGAGAAGCAGAAGGAGGAGGATGAGTAGTAGGAGGGGGAGGAGGAGGAGGAGGAGGAGGAGAGGAGGAGGAGGAGGAGGAGGAGGAGGAGGAGCAGGGGCAGGGGGACGAGGAGGCGGTGGTGCAGGGGGAGGAGGAGAGGGAGGAGGAGGACGGGAGGAGGAGGAGGAGGAGGAGGAGGAGGAGGAGGAGGAGGCGAAGGAGGAGGAGGAGGAAGAGGAGGAGCAAGAGGTAGACGACGAGGAGGAGAGTGATGAGGATGCAACGCCGCCATTTTGGCCCAAGACGTTATCGGACATCACATGTCCGAGGTCGTTCTTCCAATCAGCGCCCCGCTGTCGCCGCCAGCCCACCTGCCGCTCTTGCCAACCATGGCCAGGAGGACCGCGAGCTCGGTCGTCAGCCGCGCGAGCACGCGCGACATGGAGCGGCCTTTGGCGCTTCGCGACGACAGCCGCGGGCCGCGCCCGCGGAGCGACTGCCACCGCCCTGGTCCCGCCCGTGTGTCGCCAGATCCACACGGCGGGCGGCGCCGCCAGCGCGAGCCTCGCCGCGGCGGCAAGGTGCGGCAGCCGAGGCGGTCGCCTCGCCAGGAGGACTACGACGAGGACGGCGACCTGTTCGAGGATGATCGCGACGATTCCTCAGGCTCCGAACGCAGGTTCAGCGACGACGACGCGATGACGGAGGACAGGACGCCTGCGAAGAGCCGCAGCGAAGTGCAGGCTGGCTCGGACGCAGGCCGCGGCAGCCGCGAGAGCCTCGGGCGCCGCCTGAAGAGGCATGCGGGTGCCAATGCGGGGCGGGGAGGGAGGAGTAGGAGGCTCAGCGAAGGAGGAGGTGGAATGGGAGGAGGACGGCGCGGGAGAGGGTAAGGATGAGGGAGGAGGCGGAGGATGATGATAATGATGCTGCTGATGTTGATGATGACGATGATGCTGCTGCTGATGCTGATGATGGTGGCGGTGTTGATGACGGTGAGGATAATTATGATGATGGTGATGACGATGGTGACGTTGACGATGATTATGATGCTGATGCTAACGATGACGCTGGTGTTGGTGAGGCTGATGACGCCGACGATAGTGATGATGATGGTGATGAAACTGACAACGATGATGATGACGACGCTGATGGTGATAACGATGGTGGTAATGACGATGATGATGAAGATGGTGATGTTGATACTGATGCTGCTGATGATACTGATGATGGTGATGCGTATGACGATGGGGACGGCGACGATGTTGATGATGCTACGGATGATGATGATGACTGTGATTCGGATGCTGATGATGCTGTTGATGACGGCAGCGATGCTGGTAATGATGAGGTTGTTCATGCTGCTGGTGATGTTGCTGCAGATGATGATGATGATGAGGCTGATGCTGGTGTTGTTGGTGATGATGTGGATGCTTATGGTGATGCTGATAATGAGGTTGATGACTATGATGATGATGCGAATGATGATGTTGTTGCTGAGTATGATGGTGATGCCGATCATGTTCATGTTGATGATGCAGACGATGCTCATGCTGATGATGCTGCTGGTGCTGATGATGCTGATGATGATGCTGATGGTGACGACGCCGATGCCGACGATAACGATGACGATGGTGATGGCGACGGCGATGATGCTGATGACGGTGCGGGGGTGGAGGAAGAGGAGGATGGGGGGGGGAGGAGGAGGGGGAGGAGGAGGAGGAGGAGGAGGAGGAGGAGGAGGGGAGGACGAAGAGGACGAGAAGAAAAACGGCGCGCCGAGGGGGAGGAGGAGAAGGAGGAGGCGGGGGAGGGGGAGGCGGATGACGATGGGGAGAATGAGGACGGCCATGCTGGTGATGATAATGATACGCAGGGTGATGAGGGGTGGGGGACATAGGGGGGGGGGGGGGTGCGGACGAGGGCGGCGATGAGGTGGGCGCGACGCGGGTGGAAGATGATGGCCCAGAGGATCAGCAGGATGACGAGAAGAAACGATGAGGAGTGAACGGAGAAGGCGCGTGGGCATGGGTAGTGGGATGGCGAGGCGATTCTAGACGATGACGTGGGGGGGTGGTTTAGAGTGGATCGAATATGGAGCGGGGTTGGAAAGGGGTTGGGCGAGAACGAAGAGGATGTAGGACATGCGAGGGCGAGGGCAGATCACGGGATGAGGAGCACTGGTGGCAACGATGAAGATGCTGGGGGTGGCGGGAGCGATGGCGATGCTGGCAATGGTGGTCGCGCCCCCCCCCCCCCCCCGCCACCGCCGCGCCCCCCCCCCCCCCCCCGCGCACACGCACACACACACACACACACACGCACACACACACACACACACACGCATACACACAGACACACACACACACACACACACACACACACACGCGCACACGCACACACACCACCCCAACCAGCGATTCCCGCACTTGGCAGAGCGGTTCGGCCCCATCCGCCCCCCCTCCCTCGGCGTCGTTCGGCCCCCTTCCACCCTGCATCGCTGTTGGGCGCGTCGTTCGGCCCCGACCGAACGACGCGCCAGGCGGCGAGGGGGGCGGGGGGGATAGGCGCCGAACGGCCCGGAGGAGGGGCGAAGGAGCGCGCCGATCGATTCGCCCAATGGCGAGCGACGGCGACGGGGCGACTGACGGGCGACGGCGTTCTGCCACCCGCCCCCCCCCCGCCGCCCCGCGCGCCAGGCAGAGCAGCGGCGACAAGTGGTCCAGCAGCGCCTACCGCGCCATTGGAGGGTCCAGCGGGCTCAAGCGGAGCCAGCGCCTGAAGATCCTGGAAACGATCGGCGCGAAGTACTTGGCGGCGCCGCGGCTCAGCGACAACAGCGACGTGCACTTGGCAGGGCTGACTGCATCATGTGGTGATGGGCCCTCGTTTTGATGAGACTCCGCACCGCGTCTCCTCTCCTCCTCGCCTCTTCCCGTCTCTCTCCTCCCATCCCAGGCCGTGCCCTTCGCATGCCATCATCATCATCAGCATTGTCATCATCAGCAGTAGCTGCACCATCATCATCATCATCTTCATCATCATCAGCACCAACATTAGCATCAACAACAGCAGCATCACCCGCCTAATCATCATCAACACCACCATCGACATCGTCACCATCGTCTTCATCGTCGCCATCACCATCAGCACCACCGTCAAGTTCATCAGCATCATCGTCACCATCGTCATCATCATAAGCATCATCACCAGCAACATCATCATCAACATCATGACATCGCACGATGGTGGCGCCCACGTGCGAACGGTTCCACTGGGGCCTGAGGTGTCGCCCCCGATGGGGCCACGGGGCGCGTGAGGTGTGTGCGTGTACCGAAACGGGGGTGACGCCCATATGCGAACGGTGTCACTGAGACCTTGGTTGGAGATCCCTATGGGGCCACGAAGCGTGTGAGGGGTGTGACCGCATGCAAGCGGTGCCGCTGAGGCCATAGCTGGGGCTCCACCTGGGGCCACGAGGCGCGTGAGGGGCATGCCGACGCGAGGGTGACGCCCACGCGCGAACAGCGCCATTGGGACCTTAGCTGGAGCTCCCTGATGGGCAGCGAAGCGCGTGCGGGATGCGCCGCAACGGGGGTTGCGCACGCATGCGGACGGTGACGCGCGGGC